TTAGAAACACTTTGCAAAAAAAAAAAAAATTTACAATACAAAATATGAGTTTAAAAATTTATCGGCTTTAAATTAGATTTTTTGCGGGTGAGTGATATATTTTATACAATAAACAAAATGTAAAATAATTTTTTGATTTGATATAATGATTCAAAAAAATATTCCTATAGGTTTTCAAAATAATATTCTACCAAAGTATAAAATTCAATAATATCTGCTGAAAATAATTTATATCCACTTACAATTTTGCATGTTTGCAAAGCTGTCAAAAATAATTCTAATAAAATATTTTAAAATTCATAATATTCATTTTAAAATTAAATTATTACAACAATTGTAACGACTATAAGAAAAATAATATTTTTTGGTTATTCCTATAATCAATAATTATAAACATGCGAACCATGAAAATCCATGTTTAATTTTCCTTAGTAAAAGAAACTGGAGCTAGCAGACACATTTTTTTGTTTATATATCAATAATATTTGAGTTAGTGTTATGAAATACAGAAACACAAACACATATGGCTTCAAAAACACACAGGGTTTAAAATTTAAAATTTTCTTAGTTAATTTACCTTATATAGTCTATAAATGAAAGCATTAAATATAAATTTTGTGTCAATTTGTCAAGGTTGAAAAAGCTAACATAATATTTAATAAAGAAGCGGTAAAAAGTGTAGATTCACCTAACAATGACAAAGACTCTTGCTATGTGATTGACAAATCACATTTTGATAAAACTAAGCAAACAAAATAACTTATTTAGTATTTTAAAAAATTTAAATTATGTATAAAAAAGAATCACTTGTGGCTAATTAATTAAATAAAATTAAAACTATATTAAAAATATTATTAATTTAAAAACTAAAAAACATTAAACTCAAAAAGACACAAAAAAATACTGAAAAATTGTGATTCGTATTTCTGAAACAATGTTACCATACATTGTTTTCGAAATGTTTGAAACATTATTTAAACAATGTTACCGTACAATTAACTCTAAACACACACTGAAATCTCGACTAGAAAATACTCTCTTATATATCCCTTGTGACTTTATCACCTAGTCACGTCATCACTAAATAATATGATCACATTGCACCAGTTTTTACACAAGTTTAATAATGAATTTTTCAGTAGGCCAAGATCCCAATTAATTAAATTGTTATTATTTTTATTCATTTCTATTGACTCCCTTATATTAAGTTCTTTGTAATTATTTACGTTTTTAATTAATTTTATGGTTTTAATAAAGTGATTATGTGTCAATAAATTTTCAGCCACTGGAGATTTCTCAAGTACTTGATTTTTAATATTTAGTGCTCTTTAATCCTGACCCCTATATTTCTTTTTGTTTGCCCTACGTAATATTTATTACAACTTTCACATTGTATTTTATAAATGTCTGATTTACCCCCTTCTTCTACCTTATCTTTATGTTTACCTACTAAATCGCTTAAATTATTACTCTTAGATGTTACTTAAGTAATACCAACATTTTTAAAAATCCTTGCTAGTCCATTTTGGATGCCCGGATAATATCAAATGGGTGATATCTAATTACTTTTTGTTTCCCCACATTAATTACGGTACTAGCTGCCCTTCTTTATTTATTCCACATTTGTGTTCAGAATAATTTTGAAATTATTTTTTCGTGATACCCATTAAATCTAGCTATTTCTCTTATAACTCTCAGTTCTTTATTAAAATCTATTTTATTCATAGGAATATTATTTAATCTGTAAACCATACTATTAAAAGTTGCCAATTTAATGCCCCCACTGCTCTTATAACTAGTAAATCTAAAAAAGAAATTTTCCCTCTACTTCTGTTCTTATTTGAATTTTAACGATGAGTAAAAAGAATTTAAATGTTTGAAGACCTCCATATTATAATCTTTATTTATTACTGCAAAAATATCATCTGCATACCTAACCCCAATTTTTGGAAAATCACCATAAGTATGTTTTAAATTTGTTTCGAACCTACTCATGAAAAGTTCTGCTAAAAATGGTGATAGCGGATTTCCCATTGCTGTGTCCTCAGTTTGCTCATAAAATTTATTTTGAAACTGAAACCCTCAAATACCTAAACTATACTATATTACTCTATGCCAANCCCTCAAATACCTAAACAATACTATATTACTCTATGCCAAAAATACATAATCCAGGAAATAATATGAGACATATTGTCTCATTGTCTGGGTGTCAGTATGTGTTTAGCATTGATAATGGAACATTGTTTCCGAAATATGTATCCGCGATTTTTCAGTAATTTTTGTGGCTTTTTGAGTTTAATATTATTTAGTTTTTAAATTAATAATACTTTTAATATAGTTTTAATTTAATTTAATTAATTAGCCACAAGTGATCTTTTTTTATATATTATTTAAAGTTTTGAAAATACTACATAAGTTATTTTGTTTGCTTAGTTTTATCAAAACTTTGCGTAGATAGATTTTTAATATAGAATTAAAAAAATTAAAACGTTTCATATATAAACAATTGATAAAATATAATTTCAAATTAATTTTAATATAATACATTTTTTTAAAGAAATACAAATCATTGTCATTTTCATGACTTTCTGGATCATAATTTACACAAATGTCACCATTGTAAATAATATTGTTAAGTATGAAAGCGATACAATTATTGATGACTAAGTTTTATTTATACAATTGTTTATCTAGATGAAAAGTACTTTTTTACAAATTTTTAATTTTTGCTATTATTAATTCAATTTTGTGTAGTCATATATTTCAAAATATTAAACGTTTAATAAAATAAGGGAAAAAAATTTAGTTTAAGAAATTCTATATAAATAAGTAATTCTATAATTTTCATATTCATCTCGTCAAAGAAAAAAAACTGTAAACTATATTATTCTGATTGAAAAATATATAAAAAAAACTTTGCACAGTGTGGATGCACCATAGTTTAGAGAATTGTACAGTATGATTAGTTTATCAAAAACCACTTGATTATTTTCAAATTGAATACAATATTGAAAAAGAAATATATTCCTTATTTTTAGTTACATTTATTTCTTGATTTATCAGCTCATAATTACTTGTTAAAATCATCCCTTATAATTTAATGGGGTGTCAACTTTAATTTTTTTAATGGTAACATACAAATTTAACTAGCTTTTAAAAAAGAAAATACTCTAATTAAGAAAATGACTGGTCGATAATATAGTTATTCTCATTTTTATATCTAGGCTGGACGAAGAGTACGGTCGGCAAATGTCTAGTGAAAATATAGAAGCACTGACTCTTCACCTTCAGTTATTATTTTAAATTGTTAATTACTTCTAAAGTTACTAGTTTAAACGTCGGGATTGTTCCCTTGTTAGCCAATGATAGGCCGAATCCTGATATCAGATTATTGACAAGCTGATTTGCCGAAGCTTCCCTATACCCGAGACTTAGCGTTAAAGTCTCCAGCGCAAGTCACTACCTCTTTTAGACAAATTTATACGCAGCTATGATGTTGGGTATTTTAGCTATCTTGTTAAAATTAAAACGTTTCAAATTAACTGTTTTTATAATAAATTATTTTATTTACTTATTTATAACATTTTATACAGGCAAAGCCCAAAAATATATATAGCAGTCATCATAAACGTCATTAATAAAAATTAGTGAGAAACAAGCAACAAAAGAAAATTTATGTATACATTGATCCAAAATATAAATTAAAACAACTTAAACGAGGCTTAATTAAAATAAATAGAAAGCTGGATCATTATTAGCCAACCGCATAAGGCGAATCATTGGTGCGGAGTCAAGGGGTAGGGGGGATGAGGAATGTAGTGTTAGAACGGGTGGTACGAAGAGGGATTTTAAATTTTAGAAGGCTAAGAAGTTGGCAAGAGTCTATTTTATTGAATAGGAGTTTATATAGGAAGGTGATGTTTGAATTGTGGCGTCGATCGGCAAGGCTGGAGAGATGTACGGTAAATAGGACAGGGGAGTAATCATGAGGAGTATGAGGGATATTGAGGCGGTATGCTGCCAGGTTTAAAAATTTTCTTTGGACCCTTTCTAGTGATTCGCTTGCACAAATCCCAAAGAACAGAGCTGTATTCTAGAATGGGGCGAACAAGGGATAATCCTTGTTAAAAGATTAAAAATACACGTCTTATACTATATGTGTTAACATTTAAATTAGGAGATAAATTTTACATACTAATATGCATTCCAAAAAACGTTAAAATTTTTTTTTTTTAGATTAATGAACTGAAATCTTATATTTTTGAAAATATGTCATGGACACACCATAAAATATGATTTACAAAATGGTACAATCCGACTTTGTCAAACATAAGTTTACGCGACATAATATTACTGCTGTACGAGGATCTGGATATTACCCGGACCAAGGTAATATTGTAATACACCGACCGTGTAATGTGCTCATAAATTGCTCCCTTAAACAAAACCCGAAATGCCTTATTACTAATCAGTGACCGACAGTGTTGATATAAATACTGGCGAACGTCTACCGACCATCAGTCAGTTTACTAGCACTTGATAAGCCCGTATACTTGTTATTCAATATTATTTTAGTCAGGGCCGTCCTTAGGGGGGGGCAAGCAGGGCCCAGGCCCTGGGCCTCGCGCTTTTGGGGTCTCGCACAAAAATACCAGACCTAGAGAAAGATGAGAAAAAAAAAGGTCATTGAGAAAATTTTCCTACTTGCGCCAGATGATGTAAACTTCCCGCCACTTCTCGCACTTCAAAAAAAAAAATAGAGTATTACTTGGCAATTTCATTTAAAATTAATTAGTTCTTGTGATTATATTTTTTTAATTTGTATATTTAAAAAAACCTGCTATTTAAACAGAAGTAATACATTTGAAATACAATTTCAAACATTATAAAGGTAAACGTCGAAATATTGTATTAAATTTATATGGATTATATATATATATCAATTGGTTTACTAATTTCCCCATGTTCATTTTTCACTCAACTCGCATATGCACATACACTCGAGATACGCGATTAGGCAAGGCATGTTATTTTAATCGACGAATTTCGTAGAAAAATAGTCAAAATAATAAAACCATTTATTCACCGAAATAACAAACTGTTTGTACCGGTAATTTTTAGTATGTGTTCGTTTTTCGTGGTCGTTGGAGCTTAAATATCGGGTACCAAAATAAAATGAGTAGCCGATTACGTGATAAATATCGAAAATTTAAAAGTGGTGCTGAAAAGCGAAAACTTAAAAATGTTCAAAAAGAGCAGGATAAACTTTTAAAAAACTCTTTATGTAAATTTTTAAAAAAAGATCAAAATGATTGTGTTGCCGGAAGTAGTAGCCAAGTTAACATTGAAAATAACGAACAAAAATTATTGTTAGACAATATTACTATTGAAACAAAAGAATTACAATCCGGTAGCAATGAAGTAAATGAAAATCTTCAACAAACTATCAAAAGATTTACTACTCCAAGAAGATACAAGGAACAAAAAAGTACAGGACGATGAAATTGATTATGACGATCCAGGTAAATGGCAAAATATTACAGATAAATTACGAGTTTATTTAATAGAGAACTCGCCTTCAAAAATTATAAATTATAATTTTCCATCAAACGACGAAGGTAGAAAATTCAGCATAACACATTATAATCGAATAATGGGCAACGGTGAAAAAGTGGTAAGAAATTGGCTTTTATATTCTAAATCTTTAAATCGAGTTTTTTGTCTCTATTGTCGTTTATTTTCTTCAAACTCAACTTCATCATTGGCGTCAGAAGGATTTTTTAATTGGAAACAGATAAGTGAACGTTTAAAAGAGCACGAATTATCTATTTCACATAATATAGCTCAAGAAAAATGGCTACAACTACGTATGAGACTTAATCTCCATACAACTATAGATAATGATATTCAAAGAAACGTAAATATTGAAAAAGAACGTTGGCGTAATATTCTTAAACGAATTATTGCATGTATAGAATTTTTAGCAGAGCATAATGACGCTTTTCGTGGTACAAGTTCTAAGTTATATACAGTTAATAATGGTAAATTTTTAGGCTTACTTCAAATGATTGCAAAATTTGATTTAATTATGGCTGATCATTTAAAACGTGTATATAATAATGACATCCATGATCATTATTTAGGTCCTAGGATACAAAATGAACTTATTAATATTATTGCCACAAAAATACGTGATGAAATAATAAATCGAGTAAGACAAAGTAAATATTTCACAATTTTATTGGACGGAACTCCTGATAAAGGTCACAAGGAGCAGCTTACATTTTTATTGCGCGTTATAGAAATTTCGAAAATTTTCAAATATGAAATAAATGAATATTTTATATGTTTCATTCATACTACAAGTAAGACTGGCTTGAATTTAACAGAGGAAATAAAAGCACAATTGAAACTAATGAATATAGATTTAAATAATTGTCGTGGCCAATCGTATGACAACGGGGCGAATATGATAGGTCATCATCAAGGAGTGCAGTCAAAAATCCTTTCTGAAAACTCAAGAGCTTTTTTTGTTCCGTGCACTGCTCACAGCCTTAATTTACTTCTCGGAGATATGGCATCATCCGTACCAGCTGCTATGACATTTTTTGGGGTAATTCAAAGAATTTATTCTATTTTTGCTGCCTCTACTGAAAGATGGACTATTCTTCTCAAATACGTTTCAGATTTTACACTAAAACCAATGTCAGATACTAGATGGGAATCTCGGGTCGAATCGGTTAAGCCTATCCGTTTTCAATTATGCCAAGTACATGACGCTTTAATAGAAATTAGTGAATCAACGAAGGATCCTAAAATAAAAAGTGAAAGCTCGTCATTAGCAAACTATGAATTTTGTTATGACTTTATTTTAAGTGTTGTTATTTGGTATGAACTGTTATCTGCTATAAATAAAGTTAGTAAGAGTCTTCAGAGCAAAAATATGGAATTGAGTAATGCTGTACAGTTGTTAAGTGGTCTTAAAGATTTTTTTTATAATTTTAGAAATGAAGGGTTTGAGTCGTCAAAAAAAATTGCGCAAAATTTATGTGAAGGCCTTGATATTCAAGCAGTTTTTAAACAATCTAGAATTAAAAAAAAAGTTAGGCAGTTCAATTATGAAAGCAAAGATGCACGTCTAAATTCAGCTGAGCAAACATTTTACGATGATTATTTTTTAGCCGTAATAGATCAAGCAATCGTATCAATTAATGAACGTTTTGAACAACTATCTCATCATTCAGAATATTTTGGATTTTTATATTATATTGAAAATTTAAAAACATTTGACGAAGAAACGTTTTAGTTTTAGTTTTAGTTATTATTGAGGTGGACATAATGCCCATGCACTCAGACCTGTTGGTCCATTGTGCGCACCTC